GTGTGGGTGTGGATGGGGTATGTGGGGTGTGGGTGTGGGTGTGGGTGGGTGTGGGTGTGGGTGGGTGCGGGTGTGGGTGTTGGTGGGTGTGGGTGTGAGTCTGGTTCTACTTCTCTCAATCAAAAGTAACCCACACCCCCACCGCACATCCAGACCCAGACCCACACCCACACCACCACACACCCACACTCATACCCACACGCACACCACCACACCCACACCCACACCCACACCCGCACCCGCCCACACACCCACACTCAACTACGGATTGGCAGTGACTTTATGTTCAGTGCAAATGGATGTTTCGTGTACTATGCTTTGTGTGTGATGAAGTTAATTTTACTGTATGGAATAGAATTCTGTCAAAACTATAGTGACCTTTTTGAATTCTCAGCAGAATTCTGGTTCATGATGGGATGCTTGCTCTGAGCCAGTGATTAAATTTCAGCTTGCTTGTGTAGATTTCTATGGCCGAGGCTATTCACTGTTTACCGAATACCTATTGTTGAGTTCTGCAGCCCCTCGGATTTTGACCTTCAAATTTAAAACCGTGACCACTCACGAGGTCTCCATTTCCCGACCTCAGAATCACGGTTTTTTGGAACAAGAACATCTATAATTCACATTTGCTTCCGAAAAATCTCGATCGTCTTATGGTGCCATTTGTGAATGACCCCTAAGCCGATTTCAAGAACTATCCAACATGTTTAGAGAAAAGCATGTCTTCATTTAAATCCAACTCATTCCGGTATATGAACAATAACAGATTATAAATTTTAGAAAGAACTAACCATCAGATGCTCTAATGCTTGTGAAGCGATGTTCGGTACAATGTTTTGGACGAAATAATGACTATTGGTCATATATCATAAGTTGTTTTCAACAAAACTTTGCCGAAATGCTAGACAACTCTCGAGAAAGACATCTCACAACCAATATAATGTGTGTCACAGAAATAAGAGTACTCGTTCTATTTCGTGAATATCTTATTCTTTTTCGAGACCCGACTTTCGGGTTGATTTGAGAAGATTCTGTGTGTCAACATTGTCTATGATCATTCAAAAGGATATTTCTCTCACACTAGATCCCTTTCACAATTTGTGTGTGTAGTATGAAAACATATTCTTGTCACGGGGAGTGTTTGATTTATTTAAAGACTAGTTTTTCTGCTGTTGAAACAATTTTGTAATATATAGATTTGCTGCATCCATCATAAGATCGCGATGTAGTTGTGAACGATCATTAAAAAACATATCGCCCGCTTCAGCATCAAGTAACCATGAACCAAATATGGCCAATGCTTGTTGTTCGTCGTATACACTTTCCACATATACAATTCGTTCACCTTCTTGTTCAACATGGAGTAATTTATAAAAATAGAGTTTAGCTATGAAACCATTACGTGCTGCTTTTGGTCCTAAAATAAGTATTTTAACCGATTGTCGTTCGGTTTCATTGAATAATTTTGTATACCAATTTTGTACAATTGAATGAAGAAGGTCAAGTGAAAGACGAGCAGCTCGCTTAAAATTAATTGTAAAAAGTTGACTAGCTTTTTGACAAAATTGTTTTAATTCAATTTCATTCAATTGTTTCGATTTGATTATTGAATGAAGATAGTCAATAGATAAATCGATAATAGCCTCTTGTGTTTGTAAAATATTATCGGCCGACGATGATGGAAAATCTAATGATTGTCGAATATTATCGATTTCATTTAAATATATTTGAAATTCTTCCGTTTGATTTGATGAAATACATTGTTTATTATCAAATAGAATATTGAATAGACGAAGATAGATTGTAAATGGAATATGTGATATGGCCTTTAGATCATCATATAATGGTAGAATCAGTTGAGTTCGCGTTTGTTTTCCACGATGAAACAATGTTAAATAGTCACCATTAAAAATGATTAGTGGATCGACTTTATTCAAAAGATGAGTACGAGTTTGTTTATAAGCATTGGAAAAATGTTTGTTGAATTCAGCTAACATAACATTTTCCGATCCTATTCGATGATAAGAAAGTAGAAAAACGGTGAGTAGTAGTAATATCGCTTTTATGTTGGAAGAAAACATTACACAAAACAGAATGTACAACCACACGAACATGAGGACTTTTATTCAGACGATATTAGAGAGAGAGAGAGAAAGATCAAAATATATTGTTTTTGGCTCTAATAGTGAAGAAGCAGAGTGTCCTTGCCCTTATTTATTCAACTAATCTCTGTTTGTTGTAGGAAAGGACAAGCATTGTTGTGGCTGATGACGAACGATCAGAATGTCAATACCATTATTTATTCAACAAATCTGTATTTATTGTGCAAACATATATCACATCTGGCATAGGCGGTGGAATAGGGGAGGGAGCAGATGAGGCTTCAGCCAGACAACTTTTGAAATATCTGAAGGAAAATCCGTTTTCTCCATAGATGGAATCGGTCTGGATTTCTGACGACCAGTGCCGGTACCGGTTCCATCTATGTTCAAAACACATTAATTCCATCAACAAAGTGTTCACATGTCCTAATGAAAAGCAAATGACACGTCGACTACATGTCGTGTTGGTTATAAAAACTCTGTGTTTTCTCGATTTTCTCTACTGTCACTTCTCAAACAATAACTATTGAAATTAAGCATCCAACGATCTCCATCTTTGAAGATCTGGTAACATGATTCTCCGATACTCTCCAGTGTCCTTGTTCACAAATATCAATTGAATATCAATCATTTCTCACCTTTGTACCTACATTTCATCAAGTGTGTGTAACGACAAAAGTGTTATCGTGTATCAACTGTCTTTATTTTAGTTCAACACATTTCCTTTTATATTCATCATCTCCCATGGAGAGCGTATATCATCGACAGAACGGAAAAAGAGACAGAGACAAGAAGAAAGAGAAGTGTATACACATCTGCATGTGTGCAAAGAGGAAGCGCACACACCGAGACGATAGATGAGTTTACGTGCGAAGAGAAAGATAACGTTCTAGAATGTACAATGTGTGATTAGTTAATGACGTGTATAGAGGTTGAAGAAAAGCAGAAACAGAGAAGGTTGACCATACATATAATGATTGATGGAGTGGATGCATCATTATTAGCATATCCCCCTAGTCAGATTAGACGCACTTCTGGGTGTCTCTAAACTTGAGGGTGGGGGTGTGCGTGTGGGTGTGATTCTGATATCACTCTATTTTCATCCACCCACATCTACACCCATTCACACCCACACGCACACCCGCACCCACAGTCACAGCCACACCCCACACCCTTCTCTTGTCGATTGCTTTCTATTATAATACGTGCAAATTTTCAGTTCGTGATTTTCTTCAACATAGAACTTATGAAGATATTGATGATCGAAATCTTAGTGTAGTTTTAACTATCAAAAACTTACCAGCAGTAGTCAGAAAATCGGGATTTACAACAGATGAATCTTCAAGAATGAATAATGCATGAACTCAACCAATCGATTGCCAGCAGAAAGATCAGAACTTTGATAAACTATTATTTTCTGAAGGTAATTGTTCGAAATTTTCTGATTCCGCGCAAAAATCGAAAAGTAAAATAGAAGGCTCGAACCATCAGCATACATTGCAATTATCAGTGGAAGTACTAAGAACAGAAGAACCATTTGATATGCCCAAAGACAGTCGATGCGGTGAATCCAAGATAGAAATGGAACCTTTAAAAGAAACCACTCTGTTGCATATAACTGCAATAGACGATCGTAATTTGACAACTAACGTCTTCATTCACAAAAAAGAGACTTCATCAATACCTAATTCGTATGAAGAGTTGAAAAAAAGTTACAAGATCGTTTCGATGAACTTGATATCAGTAGTGAGAATGAATTAGAAATTCGAATCGAAGACAAGAAAAAGCAAATAGAAAATTTAACGAAACAAGGAAATTATAACATTGCACGGAAATGACAAAAAATCTTTAACAAAATTAGAAGAATAGAGGAAGTTCAATTATTGATGAATAGAATTAAAGAGCTCGAAAATTCTGAACTAAGTGATGATTTTCAAACATTAAAAACACAATTAAAAAATTCTCTGTCGAAGTTAGACAGTCTTTAATTGGTAGTCGATAAAATCAATGCTATGAAATCATCTCTTACATAGATTGAATCTGCAATGTCCAGGGACTCGTATATGATATTCATTTAAATGAGAATGTAATGGATGGTTTCAATCAGGAGGAATTTGCAATTACAAATGAAAGTCTATGTAATATGTGCCGAGATTTTTGCTCAATGTTATCGTGCTCATAACGATCCGTAATCAGTTTATTGTGTTATTTTTCTCTTCAATTAATCGATAACAGCATCGCTCTAGATCCGAGTATCGTACGATCTGATCAAATAGAAATAGATAAAGAATTTGAAAATTTGAAAAATCGACTAAAATTAGAAGAATCATCATTTTCAGTGACTCGAATTTCAATCCAAGAACTCTCGATATATATATAAAATAAACATTGGGAGAATTGTGTAAGTTTATTAAGAAGAATTTTGAAAGAAATTAGTTCACTGAACATCCATGACTTATTTCTATTGATAGAAAAAATTGACGATGCAGCAGAATTGATAAAAAATAAAGATATTATGTTCCTCCTCAGGGGCACTGGGTCAAGTAAATCAACAACAACAATTCGTTTTCTTGCTGGTTCGAGAATGATTGCAACAAGAATGGAAGGACTAAATCATATTGCTGCTATAGATCTAAAAAATCTGGATCTAAAATATGTAACCAGTTAACCTTTTGCTAGATCTGAAACTCGTTACATCACACCTGTAATCGTCAACTTTGAAGATGTTGGCACATATCATAGTGGTACTATTATTTTGTGTGATACTCCAGAATTTTCAAGATACCAATGGCCCTGAAGTAGATATCGCCAATGGAATAAGTATCGTTAAAGCAGTAAGACGATGTAGAAGTGTAAAGCCAGTTGTCTTAGTCAGTTATAAAAGTATCGGTGATAGATTTGAAGGTTTAAAAAAAATGTCACACATCTATTAGCGGGTTTAACACCAAGTATTCACGATCAAATTACAGCTTTTTCCTTATATATTTACAATGTATCCTGACAATGAAAAAAATACAACACATGCATCGTAAGAAAACATCAAAAAACGGTGAGGGATCAAGGAAAAACAGAGACTAGTTTTATGAATTTATTTCGGGATATTCTACAGAAAACAAAAAGACATACTCTAGTGTTAGATCCAATCCGAGAAAGAAGTTTTTCAATTCTCTATTACAGATAAGTCTATGGCTATTGTACATAAGCAAGCATTATATCAGCTGTTAAACGCTTCGAATATCCGTTGATAAAATATCAACTTGATCAATTGAGACGTTTCAATGAGCTACATAATCAAGATACGTTGAACAGATTTACACCGATTGTATTCGACATTTAAGTAAACACTGTTCAGAAGAATATCAAGAAGATACTCAATGTTAAATCGATGCTTAATGCATCAAAGAGTTTTGACTGATGATGATATTAAACAATATCAAGCTTGCATCGATCATACGAATTTTCTAAAAAAAAACTAAGGAATGAACATCTAGACAATGAAGTCATCTATAGTAGCGTTTTTATTCAGTATTTAAATCAACAAGGAGGCAAGATGGATGTAAATCTAAGAAAAAAAGAGATTGATGACACGTCAGTAAAAGTAAATTTAGATAGAATAAAACTTCTTACAAAATATTTTCTCGATATTAGTAATACGTACGAAAGTATTTCTCAGTCGCTTACTGAAAAAAGCGATTCCACAGTTAATTCTTTCGAAAATTGCGTCTTGACTAATCAATTTAAGGAGAGCACTCCTATCATGACAAACTTATCTGATGCATTAAATGTTTTACATGATCATTTAGATCGTCAAAATATCGAAACTAAATGGTTAAGATTGAAGGAAGATTTTATAAACTATCTAAGTAATTCTGACAAAGGATTAGATCATATTTTTAAGAAAACGAAGCTTGAAAAAAATGATATAGACAAAATAAATAATTGTGTAGATATGCTTGAAACAGCTTTAAAACATTCAATCCGGAAGCACACATTTCAAAACAAGATATAGATCAAATTTATCAAAATTTTTCATCAAAAATTTTGAAAATATTATTCGAGAAATCAAAACAGAATTTAAGAAGAAAAATGCATTTCAGAGTTTAGAAAATCTCATCCAACAATTGGATTTAATCAGAACGATTTCTGGTATTGCATTTGAAACAAGTCAAGTCTATTATGCCACTTAAGAACAATTATTTGGATACATATATCAATCAAAACAAGATGCTGGAGAACTTTAAGACTTTTATTTCAAGGTGGAGAGATAGTTGATTATGAGAAACTTGTAAGATGTCTATCGAATCTTAAAAGTGTTACTTGGATAGAGAAATATCGAGCTGGACTTATAAGAGATGCTGTTAGTTTGCATTACTCCCGCCTTATCTATTTACTTTCTTTCCTTTTTATTTGCGTTTCTTTATCTGTATTGAGTTTCTTTTGTTAAGAAAAATGATATATTCTTTCTTTATTCTTCAATGACTACTCCTGTCGTTTGCTCCAACTCTTCTATCTGTATCTATTCTACAGCTGCATTATTTAATTGTCGTGAATTATTATGTAATATTTCTCTTAATGAAATATTAGAATCAAAATATGGTTATAAATGTTATATACCACAACGTGATGGATTTGAAGGACACAATCAAGTTATTAGATTATTACTAGAAGAAGAATATAAAAAATTAAATCATACCAATAACAATGCAGAGTTAACAGAAGAAGAAATAACAACATGTATACAATATTTAATATATATATTGGATATGGGACATTTTATACCAAATGCTCACGTTGTTTTGGGACACATCGATGAGCCAATGGATGAAGGAGTTGTGGTGGAATTAGCATGGTAATAAAATACAATATAGTAATAGATATCTTGTATATACTTGCTTTTTGCTTTGTCTGATTCTTTTTATTCCTTCTGTAGGGGTCGAACATTGGGTAAAGCAGTAATAGGATGGAGAACAGATATTCGACCTGTATTTGGTGACATGACTCATTCATTAAAAGGTTGAAGAAAAACTCTTGTTCTTGTCATACTTACTTTTTTCTTTCACTCGTTTGTCGAGGTACTCATTGGTTTGTATCAAATCAATGTGATAAATATATATATCATGCGTTTCACGATATAGTAAATACAAAAGAAGCTACCTCTCAACTATATGCAGTTGCAGAATCAATACATGAAGCCATTACTGCATGTGAAATTGAAGGAAAATTTGCTACCTCTCGCCTTGTTTCATTACAACCATCTTCATCAATTCAACAGCAGTGGTTAAATCATGGTAAAATTATATTTGATGGTATTACAAATTTTCATGCAGAGAATAACTTGAGATTAATTATGCAACGATTATTAACATTAAAACAACAAGGATTATTCTGTTTACCTGCTGTTATCAATAAACATCACTAGATTACTTCTCATTTATATTCTCTATTCGTTTTTATCTTTTTTTTGCATCATTTAAATTCTGCATACGGATTTTGTAAGAGAATAAAACACTGATCTAACTTTCATAAAAATAAGATTATTTTGCCTAATTATGACAACAGTGTCAAACCTGAAAGTTGGATGCGATTATTGAAGATCGTTTCAGATATTCTGCTATTCAACTATCGAACTATTGAACTGAAATATTCATATATTTTGCCATGCTAACTTCAACGAAAAAGCTGCGCTATGTGTATTTTCGTATATTTGTATATCTGAATCTTTGACTTTGACAGTTGAATTCAACTTTCAGGTTTAAAATATACGGTGAAATAAGTGTGTCGTCAATATTTTCTTCACTTCTTTTGCACTCGCTGCACGTAATTATATGTAGTCTTGAGTATTTTCAATAATATTTATATTTATGGAAAACTGTTAAATGATTATGATATGAAGAAGTAAGAAATGTTACTCATAATTACGTCCTATGTGTTTGCCGTTCTTATACGTCAAATAACTCGAATGAGAAAAGAAAATTATAATATACTAGACGGATGAAATAGAAAAAAAGAAAAGAATATTCTAAAGATTTATCTAAATGTTTAACAGAATTACATTATGGCTTGCCCAAGCGTCACGGAATTTCATTCTTTTTACATTGAGACACCTATATCTCATCAATGATAAAGGCAAACTCTCTAAAATTTTTATCATAGATACACACTATTTAGATCTCCCATCAATAACAAGTTCATTGGTTTTGCTTTAGCCGGACCTGGATTATTTAAAAGATATCGACCGTCACGGAATTTCAAAAAAATAGAATTGTTTTTTAGGATGAGGTGAGAATTTAGAATTTTTCTACGAAACGAAGCGACATATGAATAAATGTTCTGTATGAAAGTTGTTCAGTTTTCCACAAGCTTTCAGAATATCAGATCATTTCTTAACAAACATAACTGCATCGAATAAAAAACTAAAAATACCGTCCGTCACGAAATTTCGCCTTTTTTTGAGGTTTTATTAGGGAAGGTTTGAGGATCTAAAATTTCAAATTGTTATGATAAAAGTCTATTTTTTTCTAATCCACGAGTAGTACAAAGACAGTTTTATAGTTCAAGGAATTAAGTTTTATTCTTACAAAAGAATTGCATTAGAACTGCTGTCCATTTTTCGGACAAAAATGAAATTTAACGAGGTGCAAAATTACACTTTTTTGGTGAAATTGGTCAATAAATCTCTTTTTTAGATACATAATAGAAGAAAATAGGGTTTATATTACTCGTCAAAAGAGCATCTTGGAGCTCGCAACATGTTTAATAATATGTCGATAGCATATGTTCGATTACATATTGGTCTTTTATTTGCTTCATACAATAATTTGACAATAGCTATCAATTTCTTTATGAAAGTTTTGTCTCTACCCACTCGCGCAGGAAAAGATCTAACAATTTAAAGGTAAACTATGGAATTATTCTTATTAGTAGATGATTTATATCTGCTGTAGTGAAAATTAAAATTCAGTCAAATTTAAAAGTTGCCTAATCAAAATTGAAATTTTAATTTCGTCTAGGCAAATGGAGTTTTTTTTTGTGTGATGCTCTCGGAAATGAATGTATATCGACGATTTTTCTAGTTAGTTTTCTGCTTTATTACCCGTGGTCTATAGATGTGGGGTATGGGTGTAGGGTGTGAGTATGTATGTGGGTGGATTCGTCATTGTATGTGTTTTCTGTTCATTCACATCGACACACGCATCCACACAGCCACAACCACACCCTGCTTTCTTGATTTTTCTTTCTGTTATTATTATTTTTGTTGTCAAGTTACCGATGAAGAACTTCGTCTTTTTCTCTTTTGAATATTTTGTTATGAAATCCAGAAGAAGCCAACATGAGCGACGTTGAGCGAAAGAAAAGCTTTGTTATAGGTCATCATACTAAAAAAAAGGTCGAATAATGTCGATAGCGTTATTTCACTTAAAGAAAAAGAAAGGCCGTCGATGTAGTAATTGAATTTCTATCTGTATGCTGAACATGACATACTGCTTTCTCATACTCAATAATAATTGTTGTATCCCTCAAATCATACTGTTTAAATTTAGTAATCATTATCTGTTGATTTCATTTTTTTTGCTACAATAACATCATGAAATGTCATAGATTTTCACATTTTTTCTCTCTTATAAATAATGCATCTCATGATAGAGTGGCAGATGATGAAACTTTCATGCATACCAAAGTTTTCTTTTTGTGTTAACGATCCACTTCACATCAATCGATGGAAACTAATTTAGAAAAGCAGCAGCATAATATGAGAAAAAAAATTGAGAAATTTAGGGTGTGTGTGTATAGGTGTAGTTGTGTGTGAGTGTCGGTGTAAACCGGGCCATAATAATCATATCTACACCTACACCCACACCCAGCTATGTGAAGCACCGTTTTGAGGCTTCCCCTTCTCCCTCAAAATCAATATGCTACGTAGAATGATTCGTTTAGGCTGAAATTTTCAGAAATGAATGATCGTAGTGAGAAACACTTCTAGTAAAAATTTCAGCCCGATATGTCAAACTAGGCGGGACTTCTAGTCTATTTATCGTCCATTTTTAGCCTGAAAGAGAATCCTTATAACTTCCCTATTACAAGAGATAGAGGGCTCCGGATGCTTTCAAATTAAAGGCAACTCCAATGCGCAATTTTTCATCGGATAGAATTTTGAAATTGGTTTCCATTCATTTTTTATGATCGTTTCAGTACACATCGGATCGAAATAAGCCAAAAACAATGCCACGATATGACATTAAATCTTGCTTTTCTTATTGGAGAAATCAAATATAAAAAATCTAGTCAGACAAAATTTTACTCTCGCTTAGATCTTTAAAACAAAAAAAAGAATATTGGTATCGTCTTGAATCATGCAGGAGTTATTTTCATTTTTCTGATCAAAAATCATGTTTTTGAGAAAAATAATAGATAAGTTTAGAAATTGATTTTTCGCTCAAATCCATAAATAATGGAATATTGATAATATCTATGGGGAACTATTGAAAGCACGCAATAGATGACGTAAGCTAGCTCCACGGTTCATACTATGTGATATAAAAATGTCTATTGCATACTAATAGAAGTAGCAAAATAGTGTTTTCAAAAACAACCAAAAACTTGGTAGTGAGCTGGAAATCTCCTACGGAGGTCTGCTAAAATTTAGTCTTTTTTTACAAGCCTATATATATTCTGAAGGAGAAAACTTCGCTGCATCTTTCTATGATAAAATTCTCAACTTCTGTCCCATTACAAAAAAATGGATTTTCTCAAGGGGGAGGGCCCTTAACGGTAAAACAGTGTTTTTGCAACTCTCTGGGTCAAGTAAACTGATTTAGGTTGTATGTTCATTGTTAACTAGAATATTATTTATTGTAGTTCTTCTAGAGAAAAAAAAAGCGCAATGTAATTTATCTTTAATAATTAAAACATGAAGATGATAAAAATGAATTAAGATTAAATAATTAAAATTAACTGAAAAAAACATGTTCGATTAATAAAACTGTTAAAATTATTATCCATTAGATAAGAGACTGAAATTTCCACTTCCATAAGTAGCTCCATCTCCATAAATATGTAAAGTATGAGTATCTGTTGATCTGTAATAATGTATATTTGAATCGTTTTGTACATTATTCGTTTGCCAAGTATTTCCATACGATGATATTGGATATGCAAATGCATATAACATAGTATCGCTAGCACTGTATTCAATGTCTGTAACTTGAAAATAATGAAAATTATAAATAGCAGTTCCAAACCATGCTTGACTGAATTGTTGAGTGAAACCAAATGATGACGATATTGGAGTTGAACTTGTTGAAACCGTTGCCATTGAAATTCCATATAAATTCGAATATGATAAACATTTATCCGCTTTTATTTTCCATGCTGCTAAATCTTGATAAGCACCATTCGATATTAAATATGATTCAAGTAAATAAATATCACGAGAATCTAAAAGCATTGGACTTCCTGACATAACATCATCTGGATCCCATGCATTCATCATTACCCGTAAATTTAATGCATGACAATAAGAAATCATTGTATTTTGACGAGCACGAGTTACATTAAAATCATAACTAAATAGAATCATTTTTATGTTTATAAAATTTAGAAAAACAAAATACCTTACCCAGCATCATCCCAGAAAATCCCTTGGATTCCCATAGCTGCCCAATCATCAACAGTTGTTTGCATTTGTGAAATAGGTAAGTTTTGTGTCGTAACTCCAAGATCAATATAACCAAAAGTTAATTTGCCAATATTATTTAATGATTGAATAATTGTTTGTGTATTAACATGATCATCATGGGAACTTGCAGATAATCCATCACCAAAAACAACCAAATCAAATTGACTAAATGTGATAATAGCTGCAGTCAAATTTCCATTAGCACCATGAACTACTGACGGCCATGCATAATAAATACCAAGCCGTTTAGGAATATTCACGCTTAATGAAGTTGAATTATTACTCAGTCCTAAACTCAAAAAACAAATAGTATTCTTTATAAACAGTTAGTGATAAATAATTTATCAGTTATAAAAATTCTTGATAATTTTAATTAATTATTACCTGTATTAAATTTTAGAATAATAATAAGTGGAATGATAGCAGCAATAATTACGAGAAATAGGACACCCATAATTGCTAAAACTAAACCTAATGTAGTGAAACCATTTGCCGATGTACAACAGCATTCACAAGCACAGCAGCATAATGAAGCATAAATTCCTCTCCTTCTTCTACTCCTTCGAGATCGTTTCTTTTCACTGGCTGAGTCAAATCGAACAGGTTTTCTCTGATCATCATTAACGCGAATCGATGATATTGCAATTATACGTGTCTAAAATCAATGTAAAAAACAGCAAGTCCTTAACAAGAAAGTAAATACCTTCATTATTTTTAGGTAAGTACACGTTCTACAATTCAATAAATGTATTCCGCACTTTCGTTTTGTTTTTTGAATAATAACATTTTTCTAACTCTTGCTTTTTTATTCTTTTACACAATAAAAAACATCTTTCAATGAAACCATATTAATAGACAAAAAACATCAGTATTCAAAGTCTTTCTCTCCTAATGCGTAAAACGATTTTATTCTTCTTTCAGTTTACTTTTACTTCAGAAGAAATCTTATTTTACTCTTTTAACAAAATATACTTTCTTTTTTTTTCATCATCAGACAAAATCAATCCATAAAAAATGTGCAAACTTCGGATTTAAATCTGAGAGTTATGTGTACTTCAAAAAGTGAATGAGCCAGATGAATCATCTTAGAATGTGTGGACATAAAAATTATCCTGGTAAACCTTGCCTATCAACACTTGATTTCTATTGGCTACTACTCAACCAATAGGATTTCGGGGTGAATACAGCTCAGATTTGAACTCCTCATCTTGATTTACCCTAACAAAGTCGTTTTTCCTATAACTTCATTTCTATTGGTTGCTGTTCAACCAATGAGATTTCGAGACGAATGGAGCACAGATTCGTGTTCTTCACCCCAGAAAACCTCGAACTATCATCGCTGTGATCGGAAGATAGACCTCTATTTGTAGATTACCTAAAGCATGGACGAAAAAAGAACCGAATTCTGTTTAATTATCTTTGCAATAGGTGAGTTAGCTTTCTTGCTTCCTTATGTTTCATATACCATTTTGTAGCTCTTGAAATTCTCTATCGAATGGTATATAATAGTTGGGATTTTAGTTGACTATGGTAGGAAAAGTCTTTTACGAAAGTGGGGATGGGTCGATCTTTCCATAGGGAAGCTATAGGGAAAAATGGGTATTTTTGCAATAACTCAGGAACGGCTCGGCCGATCCTTCTCATCTTCGAATTCGACCGAGATATTGTAAAGACTGAACTGTATAGAAAATTTCATCATGGTCGGACTCTCCTTTCGAAAGTTATCGTGTAAACGGCCGGCCGGCCGGCCGGACATACTGACCGATTCTAGAGTGTACTCACTTTTTGAGTACACAAAAATAAAAATAACTCATTTGAATTCTATTGAAACATTTCTACTGCAAATCATTTTATTGAATCTATTTTGTAATTTTCGATCACTTCCAGAATGCTGTAATAAGGCTCTCTGAAATAATGCTTTAAAACAAATTATCTCAAAATCGAACCAAAAATCTCTTTGGAAATACTTAACAAATGACAAACAGTGCAACAGACTAATAAACCGAAAACATTTAATTGAACAATCGAGCAAACATGTCTTTTGAAAGATGTTTCATTTTATTGTTAAATTATTTCAATGTCGACTAATGAGAATTTTTTATGAACAAAACTGTACTTCTTCATAAATGGATAAAATTAAATTGAAGTACATAATTAAATCAGACACTAAAATGGAAATAAAATATCTTTATTTGATTTATTGATGATTATTTTAGAGCATGTTTAACTTGTTGCTCCTTCGTATCTTCATTTTATATTAATATTTCGATTCTCAAATGTATAAAAAAAACAATGTCGCTGTTTATTAGTTAATAATTTGGATAAAATTTCAAGAGCGAAACTTTCTTTTATGCACTGACAATACCATAATTAGTTGCAACAAATGTATTTGTCAGATCTTTTTTTTTTGTCTGATTCACTTTTAATTAACGATCGAATTATGAAAAGTTTGTTGATGTTTCGAAGAAAAAATTAGAAAAACTGAAAATAATGCAATAATGTGTAAATTTATCTAATCAACATTTTAAACATAGTATTGAAGTTTAATAATGAATTTGTTTCAGTAAACATACGTAATCCTATTTTTTGGAATCAGATTGCTTTCAATTTTCCATTAAAGTACTTCTTCTATTTTTCAAGAATTGAATCCTTCTTTTCTTGTCTTAACAAGTCCGCACAAGTTTCTTTTTTTTATGGGTGTAAGTGAACAAAAGAAATAAACTCGCTTCCACACCCACGCCCTCATTCTTTCGTATTATAAGTATCTGATATTTGAATCATATACTTTAAGGATGAAATTCCTTGCCCTTGCTGTTGTGAGAAATATTCCCATGTTCTTTAATTCAAATAGTAGCTTACCATCATTCGATGGAAGAAAGCTCGTTAGCGCAGCTCCAAAGGGCCTGAAATGTGAAACTCACGTATATTCTTCAGATTCATTATACTAATATGAAATATAGATAGTATAAAACCACGAATTTTTTTCGTTTTCTTTGTTGCTATTCGCTCAGTATTTTTCATTTTTAACACTTCTTTTTTCTTTAATATTATATTTTTATTATAAGAAACATTGAATTATATGGCGAATGAAACTATTATATATATCGGCTTGTCCACGTAACGCATCACCTTCAATGTCGGTAGTTTGAAAAATCAGGTCTAAATATCACCAATATTATCTGATGTAATAAGAGAGAAAATGTGTAAAAGCTATTTGAGGTTTTCAGATCATGAGATTTAACTCGCATTTATTCACCATGGTGGATAAGCTAATGGCAGAAAAAGGGTTTTATTTTTCCAATTTTCGTCATCGCGTTACAAAATCGTCATCGCGTAACGTTAATGTGACCAAAGTTTCACTATTAAGGCCTTCCCCCCACTCAAAAAAGGTCGATTTTCGTCAGAATTTTCGAAATTGAGATAAATGCATGGGAAGATAGCCCGTCTTCAGATCTTTCAGATATGATATGATTTTTTTGTCGAATGCCCCTTTTTTGGCTGAAAATTTTGGTGATTTCTGTAGTCGGCTGCGTGAAAAACATGATTTTTCCTGGAAAAAACGGATTTTGAGTTTTTTGCATGGAAAATAAGTACTTTAATGAAAACCAGAGACGTTTCGCACCAAAATAAGTTTATTTTTACACAGTTTCAAGAGATATAGTATAGTTGATTATTATTTTCCTTGAATCTACCAAAAAAGTGCCTGATAATACTAAAATAACATATTTTTTTTTTGGAAAAAATGTTTTTGCGCTTTTTCTCAGTTCATACTTTCTCGAACGCGCAAGCAAGAATTCTCCGTTCAGGCTCATATAATACCTCTGACTTTTTTTTTTGTTTGAAAGAGCATCTCAAGATGCAGTGCACCAAAGAGTTCTTTTTTGAAATAAGCCCTTTTGTTATTGTGTAAGAAAACATGTCTATAGAAAAATACCCATTTTTTGTGGTCTTTTCCAGTCATTGAACTTGCGATGCCCTTTTTTTTGTATTTAAAAAAAAGGAGCCTTTGGTGCACTGCATCTTGAGATGCTCTTTCAAACAAACAAAAAATTTTTATATATTGAAAGAGGCCGGACAGAGAAATCTTCCTTTCCAAATGAGCTATTTTTGACCTTTGTTTGGTTCATATCTATGCTAAACGTCAGTAAATCGAGCTGAAAATTTTACCACAGTCTCCTCACTTCAGCCCCAACATATGCTCCAAATTTCAGTCCATTTGAACGTACCTGGGCTGAGATCGATTTTGAGTGGAGAGAGGCCTTAATGGGAGACCTTTTCGAAAAAAACTTTTTTCACATTAATACTCCAGTGTTTACTACAAACCCATTGTGAAATATTTTGTTTAAGATAAGGGTGGGTGTGGGTGTGGATGTGGGTGTGGATGGATGTGAGTGCGCATAGTTTAAAAACACCCACACCCACACCCGCACCCATACCCACATCCACACCCACACCCACACCCACATCCACACTCCACACCCCCACTCCACCCACATCCTTAGAGACGAACGTACCCTTATCTTTCTCCTATTTGTATGCAGCACATTCATTTATTCTAAAATATTAAATAAAATAAAATGCTGATTATTTAATAACGATAACAGAGGGTGTGGATGTGAGTCAACTCAATAACTCTACTAACACCCACATACACCATACTTTTGTTAACTAAATGTATTAGACTAGCTTGATTATTCTTTATTAATAAAAACATTAATTGATTCTTACGATTGTGAATATTCTGTTAGATCAATTAACAAAGTAGAATTCAATTCAATGTCATTAAAAATCTGTGTTACATATGTCTGTCTTTTTATTTACTAAGGAAATCTATAAAAGTATTTTCTTCATGGATAGTTGGACAATTTTTTAGCTATATAGTAAGCTATGGCATACCAACACCGATCATCAAAGAAATTCTTAATGTATATAGGATAAATGACTTTGATAACATTTTGATCGAAAACTATGATAGAAAGAATAAATTGAATGAGACTATAAATAATTGTTTTTGTCAAAATAATCACAGTTCAATAAAAAAAACATTTTTTGATGGATTTCAGAAAAAGAGCTTAACGATGAAAGAAAGCATATCTTAAGTCAATCATCGAGAATGGTCAATAAAAATTTAAGAGTAACTATGACAAAAAAAAGGATATAAGACACCTCCATGATGTTATATTCAACTACAGAAAATGGTAACCCAAAGTAATGTCTAGACAATATTGAAATTTGAATACTTTTCGATAGTTACTTACTTGAACCATTTGCAGTATCAACGATTCTACGTCTCAATCGTATTTCCTTCGTAACTAATATTCAAATGAATCAAATGAGAGCTGAATCGGAATAAAGTCCGTTGAATAATAAACAAAGGCTATTATTTAGTTGACATTCGACATTTTTTCTATCGGTTAGTTTATTATAACAATGGAAAGAAGGTTAATTGGAGGGTGTAGATGTAGCTCCTCTCTTAATCTGCTCTTGCATGCATACTCATATTCACCTGAGAAAGTTTGCTTTTATTGCACATGATCATTATCAAACATTGATTTCAAACTTTTATTTTTAAATAAGTTTACTTTATAAATGAAATAATAAAATACAAACTAAATACTAAATATAAATGTCCTGTTTTCACCAAACCAAGATTTGTATGATCATTAAATCCAATTAAATTTTTAATAGCAAGTTCATTTGTAGGACTATTACATTTATTTATATTACAAGCAAAATATACGTAATCAAAATCATATTTTGTTGGACCAGGTGTATAACGATATTGTCCAAAATAAATCTTCGGTCTATCAACCATTGAACATTGACGAGTATTAATTAATGTAAAATTTTCTGAATCAAGAAATTGAGCAAAATCACACACACCACTTGGGCATTCGATTAGTTCATCTGAGGAATAACAATGAGAGATTGTTGTTTCAAGTGTATCGTTATAAATTAATGGTGATAAGGAATCATACAATGGTAGATAATTAGTTGTAATAAGATTAGGAATTTTTTGTTTAATATAATCCCATTCACATGTATTACCATTTGAACATTGATAATGAAGAATACAAGATAATATTTTATCATCGAATTCAAAACCAAAGATTTCTGCAGAAGCGGTATCTAGACGAATATTGTCAATAGTTAAATCAATACTTTCATTATAAAAGACAAATGATGTAAAATTCATAAGAAAATTCACTCTAATATCAACTTCACATGCATTCGATGTTACCTGTTGACGACAATAGACAGGAATCAATAATGGTTTATCAAATGGTATTATGAATTGACAATCAAATATACATAGATGTTCTTGTTTTTGTCGATTATTAGATGTTAATAATGGAAGTTTATCAATTATATTTAAGCGAGAAAATGGAATAGTTTTATTCTTTATAGATGTTTTTGAATAACTAAAATTCTCTACCCAAGTAATTAGATGCAGAATAAAGACAAGAGAAATAAGTCTTTGTTGCATGGGTTATTCTATCTATTGAAGAAATAAATCACCAAATATCTTATAATCAAAAGAATGAAACAAATAATAATAAAAAAAGTATTATCGTATTTGTGTCATTTATTGTCAATAAAATAAAGTAATAAAAGATTCTAATCTAATGTTTCAAATTGTACAGAAGGGTAAAAGAGTAAAATATATATAGAATCATCATCGGTAGAACTTCACTATTGTGTATCGCGAAGATCTAAAGCTTGGAAAGCTGTACGATTTTTGTTCAAACATTGTTACAATTCTATGTTCCTATATGATAATGTGTTTTATTTTTTTGAGGTTTCTATTTGATAAAATTTGTTGAGCATTGTTAGAGAGTTCACAACCTTGGTTGTTAAGTACGTCTCTTTCTCATGAATTTGACGAAACACTACATCATTGTTTTGTTTGTTCAAAGAGAATTTAAGAGTTTACTGTATGTGATTGGTTGATTTTGTATTTGTTTCAGTTTCGTAGACTTAAAATTTTTTTATCTTATTATCTGTAAGATCATGAATTCAATTGAAACAACGCAATAAAATTATGCTTACTGCTCAATTACAATTCATCATTTCGCTTTATCTGACGATACAGAAGAGACTTCGATTTCTTAGTTAATAGATAGCTTCAGAGTTCCTTTGAAACCATATAAATAATAAATTTATCCTTTTTGTGTACAATATTTCATCACAATTGATTAGCAAGTCTCATGAAAAATGTTTTATAAAGTATGATTTATTGGGAATTTCGGAAAGAAAATTCATCACATACATATAGACAAGTACAAATACATTTGTCTTGGCAATACAGAGTCAGAATGAATTGAAGATAAAACAACAATGAAACCAAATGAAATCTTAGTCAAGAATTTTCATGGATTTTTGATAAAATATTTATTACTTTCAATCAGCATAACACCCAGTTTCTTTCTTCATAACCCGAATGTAATATATATATAACTAAAGGTGCAGTAAACTCATCGTTCTACTTAGTACAATATAGAAAATTTTTTTTCGCTGAATTTGACACTTCGGCCAATTCGAACGTTCTATAATCTCATAAATAATGAGTACGATTTGCCTAACAGAACGCATAGACCCAAGGAACTAATTTTTCAAACAACATATCAATTACAACATAATGAAGTAATCAATAAAAAAAATATTCAAGACTTTATGACACGTTCATGTTGTTTTTTCCTTAACAATAGTGTAAACATCCAGATGCAAAAAAAAAGAAACTTTTTGTAACTTAGATTAGAATTAATTGATTTTTTAATTTAGAAAGTAAAAAATCTGAACAACAATAACAATCTTTTATCAATACTTTCATGGATTTTGTTTAACATTGAATTCTCAATTGAGTAGAGAGTACTTATTAAATTAAGACTTTGACACGCATTTTCAAGCAACAATATGTACTGTTCTGTTTTCATATATAAATTCATTTACGCTAGTTTCAGAGTAAGAAGAAAAATCACAAAAATTCGATAAAATACTATACTTTTGATTAAATTCAATAAAATAACAGATTAAATAAAAAAAAATCCAATATCAAATATGATATTATTACTTGAAGCATTCATTATTATCTAATGGTTGACAGAAGTTTTTCAATTGAACTCAAAAAGACTTTTGCAAGTTTTCAAGAAAATTTTATTTGAAAGCATAGGTGATGCAAGACAAATTTTTTAGCGAAAGTAGTAAAATTTTGAACAGATTTTTTCCATATCCCTCTCACAATAGTTAAGTTTAATTTAGTTTTCCGACATTTTGATTTTAAATTTAAAAATCTAAATTGTAAATTTTATTATATAGAAAATAAAAAGAAATTACAAATGGAAAGTCGATTTTTATCTATGACAAAAAAGCTACTCTTTCAAGCAAAAAAAAACAATGTTTCAATACGTTCTAATGTTCTAAGATGTAAAAAGTAACATTCAATATTGTTTTGATGATATAATATTTGAATATCAAAAATATTATACTATTAACTTCGATACAATTGAAGTATATCTCTATTTTAATTTCTATTATTTATGTTCTGTTACGAACAAATTTCTTAAAACAAACTTGACAATGATCTTATAATAATCAAGTCTCTAGTCCGATCTATGAAAAAATTTTCAGACCTGAGATAAACCTGACGGACTCTAACCATGAAAAAAAAAGATCGATTTATTCATGCATAAGTAAAATATGTTCATATCTAATTTTTAATCTTATCAAATACTGTCTTGCTCAATGATTTACAATAAATCAAAAAAATTATTCATGCATCTCGTCTTTTTTATTGAACAAGAAAAGTGTTGAAACAGATGAACAATTTGAAGTTCTATTCTATCTTAATTATAATTGACAAGGTTTATTGACTAAATCATATATAAATGTAAGATTTAGTTCGTTTTTATACTAGTAAAAAACCTACATATGGAAGTAGACAAATAATTTTCTAAAATCACTATATTTGTGAATGGTTCGTATTTTCAATCTTTAGATATAAAAGAAACAAAAATTCATTGTGAATATAATAGTTTTTGTATTATATAAAGAGAGACAGTTCGCGTTCATTCGAATGAAACATACGATTAGTAAGATACTGATCAGTACATGACATGCAGATAATTTTAGTGTTTATAAAAGAATGACATGTGTATGTTTATATTCATTCACAGCATACACATTTTTCGATAACTATCGATCAAATCAAAGTTTAGAGGGTTGAACAAAAAAAGAACGATATAACTAGAAAAAAAACTGATATGATTGTCTATCATATCATTGTGAATAGATACTTTTCTTTCTATGATATTTAATATGTAAATTTGTATTATTTATAAAACTCAAGTAACAAATAGATATGTTTGTTCAACGTTTGAATATTCGTAAGTGATCTTTTGTTTTTTTTTGTGTATTTCTTATTAACTATTACGTTTAGTAATTTTTTTCTTTTATATCGATCGAGAATTAAAAGGTTAACCAGATGTGAAGAATATCAGTAGTCTTCGTTTTTCATAGTAATCTTCAAATAAATAGCAATGTAGAAAGTTTTTTTTTCTTCTTCTTTCTTTTTTTTTTTTTTTTGCAATAAAATTGAAGGTGTAAATCCTCTTAGTTATATGTATAGAAGATTTGATACATATATATATATATCTACTATATTCTTCCGTGTATTATATGTTCGTTAAACATATAAATTAATTGATTTGATCAATATAAGATAAAAGAAACAAAAGAAAAGAAGAGACAATGTCTTATTCTTTTTGATTACCGATGAAATTATCTAACTCATGAGTATCTACTATAGTACCAATACGATCGATTGAGTTTTTGTTTACAAAAGAGAGAACATAATGACGATGTCTCACGCACACAAAAAAAAAGAAGAAGAAGAAGACGAAGATTATCATGTGAACGAATAAAATGTTTTCTTCTCTTTCTTTATTCAACATAATTATCATCATTTTTTATTGATTTATATACATAGAAGAAAAAAAACACAGTACCTTTTTTTTTTTATTATAACGTTACGATGTATATGTACAGATATGAAAAACGTGTTAAATATTATGGACATATTGAAAATAATGAGGAAACAAGTGAGTGTTGATTTTCTTTTTTTTTCTTTTGTCAATAACTTAATAGATATATTATTTAAAATACTATATATCATAAAAAAAAAATAACTTTATCTGTACATTTTAAAATATATAGAAGATGAAAGCTTAGTCGAAAATCAAAAACACAAAAGTTTAATTCATGCATTCGGTGATGGTCTTCGACAAGCTCAATTAGGTATTCAAACTTCATTTACTGTTGATGCACATGTTGAACTCAAACCAGATGATGATGTCAAAGTTGTCGTCACAAGTAAGATTTAAAAAACAAATTTATTCGAAAATTTTCTATTCTATTAATTAGCTCCATCAAAACAAACATGTCATATGCAAGTCATTAATAATCGTAATGGTACATGGACTGTAAATTATATTCCAAATGAAGTTGGTGAAACCTATATTGACGTATTTCTTGGTAATGAACTTATTAGTGGTAGTCCATTTAAAGTAAATATATTTGATATTAATCAAATACATGTTTCAAATATTGATGCTGGAATGGTTGGTCATTTGGTTAAATTTCATATTGATGCTAGTGAAGCTGGTGTTGGTCAATTAGAAATAGTTATACAAGATGGACGAATACCATGTGATGCAACATCATGTGGTTCATTTCAATTTGATGCAACATTTTTACCTAAAGAATCAGGACGATATACTATTGATATTAAATTTAATGGATTACCTGTACCTGGTAAAGAAAATAAATGACAGAACAAAAAAGACAATAGAATCAAAGATTTTTTCTTTTTTTTTTGTTCATTTAGGTAGTCCATTTTCATGTTATGTGGATGATTTATCTCGTGTTACTATATCCGATAGTTTAACAAGTGGTCATGTTGGACTTCCATTGTCATTTGATATTCATCATTGGGATTCACATAATTATCATAATCGAACTATCCCACTTGATGTATCGATTACAGGTAGGATTCGTATTTTTTTTTTTAATTCAATTTTTATTTTTTGAAATTTTTTCTTTTTTTTTTCTTTTATTTTATAAGCTCCATCGGGTCGTCCTATTCCTATTAAACGATCACAATTGAACGAAAGTATTACACATATCGATTATGTTCTAAATGAGATCGGTAAGTAAGTAAATAACAAATAAGAAAAAAGAAAAAAACAACACACACGAAAGAAAGATAATAATGATCATGTCATCGGATATAAAGCAAAAAAATAAAACACCATAATTTACTAAATGTTCATTGAAATAAATAAAACTAATGAACATTATTTAACTCACCGTTATAGTTTTACAGCTAAATCTAAACAATATTTAGAATTATTACAACGACATTTATTACAATATCATAATGATAATAATAGTAGGTCCTTCACAATTTAAGCATTATTTTACATAATGATTAAACGTTTTGAAACCTAATAAGTTCGATGATAAATAATGATTTTATTTAAATGCAAATCAGATACAATATATTATCATTTATCCAATTAAAATCAATTTCTTTTTTTATTTTTATCCTACTAACTAATATAATACTTGTATACAAAATCAAGGACATATACACATCACTATATGTACACTCATCTTTCATATGTATATTGGATGGCATATCATCGTCTCTTTCGCGCGTGTGTTCGCTCTATTTTTTTTTTTTAGTCGTCATTTTATTATGCATATAGACATACCTTCAAGTACGGTATATTTAGATCGAATAGGAAAGAACGACGAAAAGAAAACACTGTTCTGGCTTCCACCTTACTTTCTCTTTTTTTTCTCTCTCTCTCTCATCCTGTCTATACTGTTTAATTGTAAACATGATGATATATTTTGAAGGGAAAGAAAAGTATAATTAGTTTTTTATTATAACTAGAAGTTTATATAATAATTTCTTATTGAAACGATAATAATAACATATTATATTTAATTTACTAATTTTCTTTTTTTGTCAATCTAGGCACACATCGTGTCGATATTCGTTCAATTATTAATAATAGTGAAAAAATGGATATTAATGGTTCACCATTTGCACTTAAAGCATATGATTCAAATCGTTTAATTGTATCTGATATTCCGCATCTTGTTACATATAATCAACCAGTTGAATTTACAGTTGATGCATCTAAAGCAGGTGAAGGTCAACTTGAAGTTGCTATTAATGATGGTTTAGTACCAAATCAAGTTAAAGCATTAGGAAATTCAAAATTTCTTTTTACATTTATACCTAAAACGAATGATCCACATATAATTTCAATTAAATTCAATGGACATCAATTACCTAGTAAATATATATCATATATAGATTTACTTTTTTTTTGAATATGTTGAAAATAAAACATCATATATATAATTAATTTAGATTTTCCAAAAGAATGTCAAATATTTTCAACGAATGATATAACAACACGAGGTCCTGGTCTTAGTCAAGCATTAATTGGTACACAAACATGGTTTACTATTGAAACACCACATGGTGGTTCAGATGATGTACAAGTTACTGTATTTACACCAATGAATGAAAAATTAAATCCATCAACACGTCTTACATCCGATGGATTACGAGTTGATTGGATACCAACTGAAGTTGGTACTTATAATGTTCATGTTATATTTATTGGAAATCCAGTACCTGGTAGTCCATTTCGTGTTAAATGTTATGATCCAAAAAAAGTTATTGTTACACCACCTATTAATGATAGTACTGTTCGAAAGCCAACAAGATTTCTCAGTGAGTTTTTAGATTTTGTTTATAGATAAGAGAAATTTATTTGATTTTAATAATGGTATTATATCTTTTTTTTTTATCTTAAATCAAAAGAAAAAAAAGATATATCAATTTAATTTTCTTAAAACAAAATATAAATAATTTTATTTTTCAATCGTTTTTTTTTTGTTGAAAATAGTTGATGCATCTCGAGCAGGAGAAGGAAATCTTGAAATTAGTGTAAATTGTTCTGGTCGTAATATTCCAAATCAAGTTAATCCCATTGGTAATAGTCGTTTTGAAGTGCAATTCACACCACAAGAAGCTGCACTACACTATTGTAATATATTATTCAATGGCGAACTTGTACCAGGTAAATAACGACACATATACATACCTATATACATTACTATAAAAAAAAAAAAAGAAACAAAAGGACGACTTTTTTTTCTTCTCTCGATTTATCAAATAATGGTTGATTATCATATAGACCTTAGATTGACAAGGTTTTCTTTTTCTTTCATTAGTGCTTCATTCGAACGTAACGAAACAGTAGGTCGACAATCTTTTATATCTTCCAGTAACGACTAATAAATCTTTATAAGATATGTATGTAATTAATTGAAGAAGAATTCTTTTTTTTTTTTTTCGTTTTTTTTTTTCTCTTCGTAATATATTGATAGTTATCATCTTTGTTTTGTTGTTCGTATGAGAGTATATGAGAGCGCAAACAAAAAGTGATGATGCATAGACATGCCATTATAAAGGCGGACGAGGAAAAAATGTGGGCGAAGCAAAACGAAAAAAAGCGATAGTGGACATGCATATATACATATATATGTATATATATGTGCAGGTCTCTCAAGCGCATCGACTTTACTAAGCGAGAGAGTGAATGAGCGAACAATTCAATTTTGAATTCATTCGAAATACTAGATACAACCAAAGCATATACGTGTATGATGCTTAGTCTTGATCATCCAGTAGTTAATAGTGATGGGACATCATCCTTGTTTAATTTATCTTCAGGTATTTTTTATTTTCTTACATTCTCAAAAGATATGTCACGTTCAAAGGCTTTTCAATCGAAGAAAAAAAAAACGAAAAAAAATTAATTAGATCGAGGAGTTTTGTACACAATTTATTTATAAAAAAAAAAAAAAAAAAAAAAAAAGAAGAAGAAGAAGCGATGTGTTGTTGTATCTCGAGTGGTTGTCCATGTAGTTCATGGTTAGATAGAGAATTTTATATCTATGATGATGGTTTTATTCAATATAAACGTGATTTCAAATATTTTAATTTTAATTTTAATTTTAGTTTAATTATTATTTGTTATTGTTTTTTTTTGTTTTGTCAGGAAGTCCTTTTGGTGTTAATGTTATGGATACACAACGTGTTGTGGTATTTGGTAAAGGTCTTGGATCAATACCTGTTAATATTCCAACATCATTTACAATTATAACACAAAATGCTGGTGTTGGAGATTTGAAATGTTCTATAAAAGGTGTAGTATAAATTTACTACGTTATTTTTTTTTTTATTATTTTCGTTTGGTGATGGTCTCGAGCAGTATAAACACTTATAATATTTTTGTTTTTTTTTGGTGTGTTGTCTTTTTTTTCTATCTAATATAGTTTTGACAGAAATATTTATACTAACTTAATGTAAGTGTAGATAATATCTTATATATTTGAAGTAAAATAAGAAAAATATTATTTTTAGGTCCTGATGATCATTTAATTCCTAGTATAATGACAAAAATGGATACAAATCGATATGAAATATCTTATACACCAAGTTGTGTTGGTTAGTTACAAAAAAACTTAGGAAAATTTTAAAATAGAATTTTTATTTTTTTGTTATTAGGTGATTTTCAAATAGATGTATTTTATGATAATAATTCAATTGATAATAATTCATATGTAGCTCGAGCATATGATATTAATAAAGTTATGATATATGATTTTCCATCAACAGCTATAGTTGATTCACCAACTTATTTTATTAGTAAATTTTAGAATATTTTGATAGATAATTTTTTTTGTTGTTGTTGTATTTAGTCGATGCAACAGATGCTGGTTCAGGAAATCTTGAAATAGCTGTATCAATTAATGAAAAAAATATTCCAAATTATGTACAAAATGAAGGTGGTGCTCGTTTTCGTGTTAAATTTATTCCGGATCATATTGGAATATATTATGTTCATATTAAATTTAATGGAATTGATCTTCATGGTAAAAACAAAAAAAGACTGTGTGTCTTATTGTTCTTTTTTTTTTCTTGTATGTAGGATCACCATTTACATGTAATGTATGTTCAAGTGATTTTACATTTGAAAATTATGAATATGCACCAATTAATAAACGAACATTATTTTTATTAAAACCAAAATTAAATTCATTATTTAATTCAAATATATTTATTGATATAATAACACCATCTGGTAATTATATAGAAGAAAAACTTGAAGAAAAATCATTAAATATTTATACAATACGATTTATTCCAAATGAAATTGGTAATCATCAAATTATATTCTATAGTGATAAAGATAAAAAACATATTATTACTAAATATATATGTCAAGTTTATGATATAACTAAAATTCATATTAGTGATTTACTACCAGCTATTCCACATCGACTTTATAAATTTACAAGTAGAATTATTTTTTTTTTAAATATTTTTTTAAATTTTTGTCTTCTAGTTAATACAATTGATGCTGGTAATGGTCATTTATCTGTAAAAATAAAACAAAATGGAAATCGTATAACACATGATCAAACTCGTATTAATACTCATACATATGAAATAACATTTATACCTGAAACATTCGATGAATGTATTGTAACAATATTATTTAATGGAGATAGTAATTGTAAGTTAATTAATTTCAATGATTGTTTGTTTTTTGAGGCATAAACAAAAGAGTTTTAATGTTTTTTTGTTTTTGTTTAGTAGAAGACATACTATACTTAATGTATACTAAAATTTACAGTTAGAATATTGTCTCCACCCTTCACTCTATAAAATGTGACATACTATATGATTAAAGGCGGATCAATAGATGAATAAAAACTGTGACAAACGTCATTGTTTTAGTCTCGTCAATTCTTTACTTATAATCATAAACGATTTCTACACAGTAATCAGAAATACAGTAACGTTCAATATTAATTATATGCCTAATTATTTACTTTACTTTTTGAATATATCAAGATGATTTTAACATATCGTATTGTACTAGTCATGAAATTATAGACCCTTACTGTCATTGTTGATCAACTCACCTATATACACATGCAAATAATCCAATTTTCTCTTCAAACAGATAAAATATAGTATATAATCAATTTTAAATGCCATTCTATAGACTTAGTATTTTTCTAGTTTGTAATGGTGAAATTCAAGATTTTAATATATTGAGTTAATAGGAACAAAAAAAATAGAACATAATGATACATAAGAAGGTCTAATTGCGAACAAAAAAATCAAATAAAACATGTTAATGTAGGTATAGGTGTGAGTATCTTATCTTAACTCATATCCATAATATTTTCATTCAAGTTATTAAATGATTGAGTGACATACATTTACCGATAATGAGAAAGATGAAATGATTAGGTCAATTAATTAAACTAAATGAGAGCGTTAAATTATATGACAAATTTTTATTTCGAAAGTTTGTTGTTGAAAAATAGAAACAAAAAGAAAAAGCCTACAGCGAAAAAATTTAGAAAATTCATTAATAATATTTATCAATGTTATATATAAATTTCGATCAATTATACATTAGAATTAATTCATTTATTTTTCAAATCGTATCTTCAGCATCTTTTTCATTCGTCATTTGAACTTATCGTTCGATTGGATTTTGTTGTTGAGTCATAAACTGTTCAGTAAATTTTTGACTTGCTGTTAGATACTTCTCGAAAGTCCGAATAACAGAGTTTCAAGTCTAATAACTCGACGAAATAACACTGTTTTCGACTGTGACTTTACGTAAAAATTTGGATCAAAAGTTCAGTAGAATCATTATAATTTGACGATAAGAGCAAATGAGGACTAGATTGTTTTCTCATAAGCATGAAATCGCACTTTAACAACCATGATTGATATCTTTATTACGTGTAACCACAACAGGATAGTAATAATTGAACTATTACGTTATTATATTCTCTATTGTCTCTTTGAATAAGAAATGTTAACTTCAAAATCATTATTTAAAGCTATATGACAGATGTTCAACAATAATAATCATCGATTAATTGTTTTTTTTTAGTTTTCGATTATAAAAACCAATCTATTTTGAATCATTATAATTTATTTTTCATCTATCGAACTAATCATATAGATCAAAACTAATAAATCAAAAGATAAAATGGGGTCATCTGTCAATCATTAATAAGGATTCATTTGTGTGTGTGTGTTTTTTTTTCTTCTATTTAAGTGAGTCCACTGACAATACCAATAAAAACTGATTCGAAACAGGTTCATATTTCACCTATACCTTCTGGTATTGTTGGTCAACCAATTGTTTTTACTGGTAAGATCATAAAAAATTTTTCCTTTTTTTGTTAAAATTAAAAATTTTTCTTTAACAAAAACAAAAATAAATAGCCGATCTTGATGAATCAAAACCTATTTCAATACTTGTCACAGAATCTCATGGTGGTAGAATTGTTTCACATACAATGACAGCAATTTCAAATGAAAAAAATCGTTATCAAATTAAATTTATACCTAATACAGCTCGTCAACATACAATATTAATAAATTATGATGATCAACCAACATTAACATATCATGTTGATGTATTTGATATAAATAAAATTCGTGTTAGTTCTATTGAAGATGGTATTGTTGGAATTCCATTAGTATTTAGTGTTGATACACATGGTGCAGGTGAAGGTCATTTAGAAGTAACAATAAGTGATGGTAAACGAACATTACCAGCTGAACTTAAAAGTATTCAAGCAAGAAAATTTGATATTGGTTTTCTACCTGAAATTCATGGAAAACATTCAATTATGATTGCATTTAATGGTATACCAGTTGAAGGTAGTCCATTTGAAATATATATTCGTGATCCACCAACAAATGAAAGAGAGAATAATCATGAAGAAGAAGATGTTGATAATGAAGAAGAAGAAGAAGAAGATGATATTGGTGATCATGAATTTTTAATTGGTGGACAATTAGAAGGAACAAAAGTTGGTGAACTTGCTTGGTTAATTTGTGATTCACCATTAAGTGATATTTATGAAGATTTTGATTTATTTGTTACTGGTATGTTGTTGTTTTTATTTAAGATTCATTCTTCTATCAGGACTTTCTTTTTTAATAAGTTTTAATTACATTATGAAACATTTAGTAAGATCAATTGTTTGTTTTTTTTTTTTGTTTAGATCCTGATCAAACTATAATCAAACATACACGAATACAAGATTCTGGTGGTCGATGGCGTGTTGAATTTGAACCTATGAAATTTGGTATACATCAAATTCAAACTAGTGATAATGGTACTGATGATTCACCAATTATTCTTGCATCGATGGATATTTTACCAGGAAATTATCAAAGAATAATTGAAGGTGAAAGAATAATTCATCCAAATATTTTAAATTTAATTACAATTAATTCTAATAATGAAAATTTAAAAATTCGATTAAGACGTAAGATTAATGGCCAGTTCTTTTTTATGTTCAGTATATAATTTTAATATTCAATTGAATTTTTTTTTTTTTAGGTTCAAATGGTGATGAAGTTCCAATTGAAACTCAACGAGATTCATTACAATGGAAAATTTATTTTACTTTAACTGCAACTGGTAACTTTTTCTTATTAATAAAGGAAAAATAAAAACGATTCTATTTTTGTTAATTTTATAGATTATTATCAATTTAGTGTTGATGATAATAATGATGAACAAATATTTGATATACATTGTGTTGTTGAAGAAACAGATATATTTCGTAATGGTGGTATTCAAGATATAACTCGATTAATTGTTGATCATAGTAAAATTAATGGAAGTGATGTTAATGTTATTGTAAAAGGTACAGAGAAAAACAAAAAAAAAATCTATTCTTTGAGATAAATTCGTGTCGGGTTTTTTTTTATAGATCCATCAGCTCATACAATACCAGCGGCATTTTATCGAAATTTAAGTCGAGATCTTATTATTGAATATGTACCAACAAAACTAGGTAAATTTTAGTAGCGCTCATTGGAAAAATATGCATTGACTTTTTTCGACTTTGAAATCACCTTTTTTTTTTGGGAAAGAACATTTGAATAACATAATGGTGAATATTGAGTTTTTTTTTGTGTGTGTAAAGAAATGATTGGTTTATCATTCTAGACGCCTTCAATTTCACATTTCACGCATATATAATTGCCATTCTTGGTAATTTTCTAGATAATTAATCATGAAATTTTATAATAAATAAAATGTATTTTCAAAATTTTATCAATATAATCAAGGTGATATGATTTGTACTTCATTCGAATTATTTAAGTTCTTTCATAATAACAAAAAAACAACACTCAACAATCTTTATAATATCTTCACTAGAAAATTAAGAATATAGAAGAGAACATAACTTTTTATATCATTTCAATGAAAGATAGTTAAATACTTTTGAACTACCATTGTATGAAGCTGTTATAATTCAGAAAAAAAATATTCGCACACTTGTCTCTAAATATGTCCACTATATATTTATTGATTTTTATTTAATTAGATATTCATGAAGTATTTATTCGAATTCAAAACAATCTACTTGATATATGTCCAATACGTATAATATCATATGGTGCTAATACTTCATTTGAACCTGTACTTCGTGTACAAGTAAAAGAAGTTCTTGAACATACATTTGAAGGTGTTACTGATAATGTTGATAAATTACAAATAGATATTACTGGTAAATTTTTCAATATAAAATAGAACAAAAACAAAAAATTATGTCGATTTTTTTTTTGCGTTTCGTATATAGATCCATTTGAAAGACTATTACCATTTCAACGTTCAAAAAATGAATGTGGAGAATTAACAATTACTGTATCACCTATTCGTGTTGGTAAATAATTTTTGTTTTAATTAAATTTTCTATCAAAAAATTAAATTTTATTTTATTTATTAAGGTACACATTGGATACGTATAGCAAATGAAGATAGTAAAAATTTTGCTTTATTACCTATATTTTCATATGATGATGATTATGTTCCACTTTCACCTATTGCTACACCATTACCAGAAGATAAAACAATACAAGAAAAAAATTCAAAAAATTCAAATAATAATAATCATACTATTATTGATTCATTTATGCCAATATTAACTGGAAAAGATTTAACAACAATTAGTGAAACATCTGAAACTCGATCATCACGTGCAACATCTATTGCATCATCACAATTACCATCACCAATTAAAGAAAAAGTTGAATTAATATCACCAATAAATCCAAATGAAACATATAAAAAACTATCTTCAAAAAATGAACGATCAAGTCCTGAAGTACAAATACTTGATATAACAGATTTAAATGATCCAGGTGTTCATATTGTTTCAAAATTTAGTTTTAAAGATATTGATAATAAATTTCATATTACTATATATGGTAAAAGATTTCAACAATAACAAAAAAAAAAATGATAAAAATAATCATGGTTTTTTTTTTGTGTTATAGATGCTGATAGAAAATGTATTAATTATAAAACTGAATATCTTATTGATGGACGAAAAAGAATTTTCTATGAACCTACTGTTATTGGTATGTTTATGTTTTCTATGATGATACTAAATTTAATTTTCTATATGAAAATGTTCGAGAGGTCATTATCTAGTAGTTTTTTAAATTAAAATGTACAAAGTATATCGATCAAAATTGAGATTACTCTATAGATTGATACAAAATAACTTAATGATGATGGTTTTTTTCGACTAATTTATGTGTAGGGTCACAAAGGTGTTTATATTGTACTGTTTAACTCTACATTGACTAATCAATAAACATGATCATTATGTTATTTTATAGAGCATGAAAATCTACATCAATTTTGAGTATTTAATTTTTACATTGAGTTTATAAAGGTTTTTTTGTTTTGTTTTTTGATATATATTGACGAGAATATTTTAGGTCCTGTTGAAATTCATATATTAAAAGATAATGAACCTATTGATGGTAGTCCATTAATTGTTCATGCATTTGATCCATCTTCAGTTTATTTAAATGATTTTCCTGATAAAATACAAACTAATACAATTAATCGTTTTATTATTGATCCTACAAAAGCTGGAAAAGGTTCATTAAAAGTTGCTATTAAAGGTATGACTTATATATAAAAAAACAAAAACCTAATATTTTACATGAATTTTTGCAGGTCCAAATAATCGATCATTACCAATAACTGTTCTTAAACGATCAAATGGTCATGTTGCTGTAGAATTCGAACCTATTGTTTCAGGCAAATTTAAAGAAAAAAAAGAATTATTTTCTATTATCTAAATAATATTCTTTTAGGTCCACATACAATATTCGTTTTATTTAATCGAATTCCAATACCGGAAACACCACTTCGAGTATATGTTGAATCTAAAGATATTAAAAAAACATCCGAGGAACCTATTGAAGAACGTATGTATAATATTGACACATACACACACACATATATATATATACACACCGACACCCTTGTTAGCTATAGGAAATCACCGCTCTAGCACATTTTCTTTTTTTTTTTTGTTTTGGACAAAATCTCTCCTAATTTTTAGGAACAACCTATCGAGGACATGGTATTGTTGGTATGTTTATTGACATAGAAGATAGTGATATTGAACGTTTTTTTCTTTTGTTGTTGTTTTCTTATTCTGATATAATAGAACAGTATCAGCGTTTAAAAGATGGTAGTCTTCGTTTAGTACTTCATTTTGATAAGCCAGAACAATCCGATTGGGAACAAATTCGAGGTGAATATTCGATTCAAATCAAAAAACCTTTGGCTGATAATCAGGGTGTGTGTGTATGTGTGTGTGTGTTTGTGTATACATATTTTTATATATTAATGAAATTTTTTTATTTTATTCTATTATATTTATATTTTAATAGAATCATTAAATAAAAGTACAAAAACTAATGAAATTATAGAACGTGGACGTTCACTTCATTCAAAACAACAAGATCAAGAACGAGCACGTTCATTATCATCTCAAACAATATTAGATCCAATACATTCACGTTTATCAAAATCAAATGAAAATATTGCACAATCAACATCACAAAAATATTCAATACCATCAATTGAATTACAAAATCGAGAACAATTTATAAAACCACAAGATCGATATGCATCATTACCATTACTTAAACCATTAAATAATATACAAATTCAACAATTTAATTCAATAAAAGATAAATTTGAACGTCAACAACCAATTGATGTTGTCTTTGGTATGAAAAATTATTTTAAAAAAAAAGAGAAAAAAAATCTTTTAAAGAATTGAAATTGCACTTTTTTCTTCTCCTTAATCGAACTCGTATTAAACGTATATATATAGAAAAAATAAAATTTCAGTTCACAATACTTTACTATCAGTAAAACGATAATACAGAAATCTACATATAGTCATAACATAAAGTTGAATAGGATCTAACAATTTGATATATACCCTCATACAAAAAAAAATCAATATAACCAACTATAAAAATAAATCAAAAGAGTAGTCTTTTGAACTAAAAAGATTATCATCTATATTCCATTACTCTTTAGACTAAGATTCTATTTTGAATAATAATTTCTTTTCTACAAAGACTTTTGTTCATTATTGTCATTGACAATTTAATATTTGAAAATTTTCTACTGAATTAGAGCATCTGAAGCTATAAATCAGAGTTGAGTAAGTGCAAGCATATATTTGTATTCGTATTCATGGACAATATTTATATTATTCGTACTTATCCTACCTTAGCTCTTCTGTCTATATTCATGTCAAATAAATTTATGTCATCATGTCCAAAAGAATAATGATTTTCTTCTATCGTAAATAAAATTCTTTCTATTATTTAAAGATCCTCGACGATATCCATTTAAAGTTCTTATACAACAACCTTATCCAATTGTTAATGTTGATGTACATTTATTAAGTATGTAATTACAAAAAACAAAAGAATATAAATAATAATTTATATATTCTAATCAAATAGTTGATCTTCCTCATATTGCATATGTACATGTTACAATAAATAATATAGAAATTCCAATTCAAGCAGCTCGTCGAAATGATGATACATTTCTTTTAAAATTTCGACCAACTATTGCAGGAGATTATTCAATTGTATTAAAAGATTATATTGAACAACCTATACCAGGTAAAATAAATTCAAATAAAACGAAAAAATTAATTATGAAAAATTTCTTTTAGGTTGTCCATTTATATTTCCTGTTTATAATCCAAATGCTGTTCATTTTGAATCATTAAATCGTTTACAACCAATAAATGATTGTCATTTAATTTGTAAATATATTCGAACAAAAAAAAAAAAATGCTTTTTCTTTTTGTTTTCTTAGTTTATTAAATTCTAATTATTATTTTTAGGTAATGTTGATCAAGCTGGACCTGGAAAATTATTTGTTATGGTTTATTCTCAAATTGATGAAAATAAATTTGAACCAATATTAATTCCAATACAAATTCATCCTCTTCCATCAAATCATATACGTGTATCATTATATCCATTTAAAGTTGGAATATATCGAATTTATCTTGCCTATAGAAATATACCAATAAATGGTAAGTAATAATTATGATTATTTGTCTAAATCACTCATTAAATGATAATGTAATGATGATAGATGCACCCAAAAAGAAAATAAATGAAATGTATAAATTAAACATTTCGAATCAAAAAAAAAAGAAAATTCTAATTGATGTTGATCGATTATTGAAAGCAAACAGTTCAATATAGACAAATTATATGTCTAAAGAATATTTGATTATATGTATGAAATACAAAATGCTTACAAAGCTTGACTAATTCAAAAATTAAACTTTGTCTTCTTTCTTTTTTTTTTTTTTTGTATGAAGAGAACTTTACATATACACAAATCAAATAGACAAAATGATTGAGAGGAAGTAATAAACAAAATGATTGATCTCATTTTGACCATCGTATATATAAAAATGAGAAAGAAGAGAAAAGTAACGAAAAGCGAACATCCATAATTTCCTTTGCCTCTTTTTTTTTCTCTTATGATTGTGTATGCATATGTATTAAATGTATGTTGCTCACTCATGCATTCACTTTTGTTCGGTGAATCGAACGCAACAAACCACTTTTTTTTTTTTTTTTTTATTCCTTTCTCGTTCGTCCAAGCTACTAGTAATCTGACGAGGAAAGAAGACACCTGTACGAATGAATATAGGTATACATACGCCTTCTCATAGTTTCGTCATTTTTCGTATGGTATAGTGGCTAATTAAAAACGACAACTTGCTTCTCATAGCTATCATTCGTTCTCTCTGAATAATTGTACCATCATTATTGGTAAGCGACAACAGCTATATACATATATTTAAACAAACAACAACACGAAGAAGAAGAAGAAAAAAGAAATGATGAATAATGGAATTGAAGAACATTTAAGTAAATCTCGTACAACCTATCGAAATCTTCATCATGAACCAAGTCCAACAATATCATCACCAAAAAATAAATTAGAAAATAAAATACTTCTAAGTGATGATAGTGATGATGATACAACATTACCAACATTTGTTAATCAATTTTTTTTTCCTAAAAATACAATAAAAAATTTTTCACCACCACCACCACAACCAGCACAATCATCATCATCATCATCAAATGATACAGGCATGTTTCGTGCTATACGTGGACAAGTTATTATTCATCATAATGATGAACGAACATCAAAAGTTCAATGTGAAGAACATCAAAATGGAATAGAAAATGGTCATAATCATCATAATAAACAAGATGATGGTGATGATGATGATGATGATGAAGAACTTCAAAATCTTTCAATAAATCGTACAAATGGTGGAAATTATGAATTACATTATGATGTTGATAATCCTCTTGAAATATCTTGTTCAATGTCACTTTCATCAGCTGAAACAATTTCTGATCATTCACCATCGCCTATACGTCATACAGCATCAATTAATATTGATGGAAATACGAAATCAAACTTAAAACATGAACATACACCTATTGATATATCAGATGATAGTGATGATGATGATGTTGATGTTGATGTTTATGATGATGATGATGATGATGATGATGGTGGTGGAGGTAATGATACACCATCATCAATATTAAGTGATATAGATCATCATGAAAAAGAGTTCATTAATAATCATGATTGTATAAAAGAACAAGATGAAAAATTACGAACATTTCGTGGTTGGCATTTATCAATGCTTAAACAAATTGATGAAAAATTACGAGAAATTGAACTTGAAACAGCATCAAATACAACAAAAACAACAACATCATTACAACAAAATAAAAAACCTATTATTAAATCTTTAACAAATAATAAGAAAAAATCTCTTCGTCCAACAATTCGTCGTCGACGTTTTGAAACAACAAATATAAAACGTCATAATTCACCTATAGCATATATGAAAATGAATTCACATCGTTCATTAACACCATCTGTAGAAAAAGAATCACGTACACTTATTATTAATTTACCACCATCATCATCATCATCATCATCACCATCAGATAATGAACAAGATTTTCCACCACCACCATCATCATCATTACCAGCACCATCAGAACCCATACATATTCGTATTGTTCAAAGTCCTATTTATCAAACACGTCAACGTGCACAAAGTACTGAACCATTAATTTTACGTGATCAATGTGCACAAACAGAACCATATCATGAAACAAATAATAATATTAATCATCGACCTGCACGTCCAGCTAGTGTTGAATGTGATCGTTTACAATCAACACGTTCATTAACACGTACACAAAAAAATCAATTTTTTCAACAATATCGACAACAACAACAACAACAACAACAACAAAAACAAAATCAACATCCAACAGATCAAATTAAATTCTATAGTTTACGTAGTAGAAATGTTCAACCAAGACCAACTGTTGTTACACAATCTCCTATGTCAATACCACAATTTCCAATAACAACATCTATTGTTTATCAACAACCAATATCTATACAAGAACAAGTTCAATCTTCATCATCTAATTATCATCCAACTATAACTGCTGATCCATCTGTATATTCAGATGATTATGGACATGTAACACAAATGAATACAAAAAATTTAGGAACATTAGTTGATAAAGTTTTTGATGATATTTATCAAGATAAACCATCAGATTTCTATAGAGATTATAGACAACTTTTAAATGATATTCAAATACGATTTAGTATGGTATCCTCAGTAGAACAATCATCTATGATTCATCATCCTGTACCGCCTCCTCCTCCACCACCACCACCACCACCACCTATTCATCGTCAATTACCATCACAACAAGTTTTTGTTGATTATTCTCGAATACCACAAACATCATTATCACAAGCTCAACTTTGTGACACTCTTATTTATATTCCTAATCCTCGTTGATTTTCGTTTTTATCTGTGTGTGTATGTGTGTGTGTGTGTTTTTCTTTTATTTTAATATATAGTGTATAATGATTGTTAGGATATGTTTTGTTTTTATGATTGGATGTAAAAATTTGACACGAACAAAAGTGATGTTGTTTTTTCGTTTTCTCTTTGAATCGAAAAAAAGAAAATGGACATAGGGAATATGTCATAGTGAATATAGTACTTATTTAACATGCACTATATATATTTGATTATATCATTGATATTATATGAATGACTTTCTGTTTGACAGGTACTCCAATCGATGTGAACATATATGACGTACAGCGTATATCGATTAACGCCGAACATAGTCAACCTGTCGTAGTGAGGACAACTGTTGCTTATAAAGGTAATTTTATCTTGACAAAGTTTAATCAAATTTTACATCGAATAAAACTTTAGTAATAAAAATAAACAAAAAGAAAAATGCTTTGTTTTTTTTATTTGTTGTTGTTTATCAATGATAATTATTAATCGAATAATATTATATTTATAGTAAATACAAGTCAAGCTGGTCAAGGTCAATTAAAAGTTGAATTAATTCAACCACAAAATTCAAAAAATCTTTCTCGGTGTCTTATACAAGAATTAAAATCTCATGAATATCTTATACAATATATTCCAAATGAACCTGGTCGTTATCAACTATGTATTTTATTTAATAATCAACTTATACAAGGAAAAACATTTGATACTGATGTTTATCTTTCATTACCACAAATATCAAAACCAAATACACCATTATCATCATCATCAACATCAATTGCTCATATTCAACAAATTATTCCTAATAATATTCCAGAAATTGGTGATCATATTTGTTTACAAAGTAATTGATATTCTCTTTTATCTTTTCAATATAAATTAATTTTCATTATTTTTTTTTTTTCTTTATACTATAGTCAATACAGAAAATTCTTCAATATCATCAATTCAAAGTCAAATATTATATAATGGAATGTCTGTTCCACATAAAATTGAACGAACAAAAGATTTACATATTTGGCATTTAAAATTTCGACCTTATGTACCTGGTACTTATAGAATACATTTAGCTTATAATGGATTATCTTTAATAAGTAAGAAAATAAATAAATAATTAATTAAATTTTTTCTAAATATTTAATAGATAGAATCTAAAAGTTGAAAAAACAAAATTTTTCATTGAATACTATATCTATGATATACATAACACATATTCTAGGTACTATCGGTTTCTGTCTGTTTCATTTAAAGCACATATACCTTGAAATCATTCATCCATAACAGAAATATAATTAGTATCGCATTTCTTTATTTATCAATATATTTATCTTAGGTTCTCCATATATAATTCAAGTAAAAGATACTAGTGGAAAAGTAATTCTTTCCGGTCTTGAACAAACATTGTTAACGAATTCTCCATGTGTAATACAAGGTAATTGAAAACAAAAAAATTTTTTTGTTTTTATAAAAAAATTTATAATTTTAATACATATTAGTTCATGCTGAATCAGCAACGAATGCACAAATACGTGTTATTGTACTTCTTGGTAATCGTCAAATTCCATCAACAACAACAATTATTAATGATAATCTTGTTCGAATTCATTTCGTTCCACAAGAACCTGGTATTTATACTGTTCATGTTTCATGTGCTAATCAACCAATTGAAGGTATATATTTTATTATATTGAAATAAAAATGATATCGAAAAACTAAAAATAGGTTCACCATTTTCAATTCGTGTTGAACGACCACGTGCTATTCAAATATCTGGTGAATGTTTTCATCGTTTACGTTTAAATGATCTTGGATTATTTCGTATTCATTGTCATGGACAACGAGGACCAATTCAAACAAAAATTTTTAGTAAATTAAATATTTCTTTTTGTAATATTAATAATAATATTATTTTTTTGTTTCCCTAAGATCTTTCTGCTGGTGATCGTTATGATATTGGACAAACAATATCATTTCAATTACATGATACATATGAACAATTAATACAATTTCCAGCACAAATTTTATTAACATCATTTAATATATCACTTGCAACAAGATTAAAAATAACACAAGAACGAATACGAAATGTTACACTTGCCAAAGAAAATGGTTTGATTAATTGATTTTTTTCTTTTTTTTTACTAATTAGTTATTTGTTATTTTGTTTTGTAATAAGGACGTGCAACCGTATCATTTCAATTATATGAAATTCCAACACAAACAATTACAAATGAACAAGTTATACAACATTTAAGACATTTAATTAATAATCAAATATTAAATTTACTTGATCCTAATCGTTGTATATTAAATACAATTATTGGATCAGTAGTTGTCGGTAGGAAAATAAATATATATATATTTTTTTTTTGTAAATTACAAAATGATATTGGTGAGTGTATTATTTTAACAATTTAAATTTTTTATAATATTTACTGCTCGAGACTATCATATAAATAATTGTTTTTTTTTGTTCAATTTACATAACTTTTATTTTTATATAGGTCCAAAAGGTGAACCAGTAAATGTAAAATTATTTCCACAAGCAAGTGGAGATTATACTGGTGAATTTACACCAATAAAAATTGGTAAAATATAGAGAAATAAAAATTTTCAATAATTTTAATAAAACTATTTATTTAATTTCTTTTTTTTGTTCTTTAACAAAGGTCAACATCGTATTGATATAACATTTGCTAATACACCTGTACAAGGTAGTCCATTTTTTACAGAAGTTTATGATCCATCACAAGTTCGTATTGGTCCATTACCACGAGATATAATTGTTAATACAGAAAATACATTTGAAATTAATTTGGATAATGCTGGTAATGTACCAATAGATATTAAAATTTCATCACCAACAGGTGTTAATGGTAAGAAAATATATAACAAAAATCATATGCTTTTTTTTGGTTACCCAGGTTTTTTTTAAAACAATAAATTTCAGTATGAACTAATTTAGTTTTATGAGTGAAGATGACAGTTTTTGACAATTCACTATTTAAAAATTAACTCAATGAATCGTGTCAATGACATTTTTTGATTATAATCTAAATTATTGATAGTGACACTGTGCTCAAAAGAAACTATTTCTTATCTGATTAAATATGTATTCATATTAAATCATATTTTAAATATGAGCAATATTATTCAGAATCATCTATTGTGCATAGGATCGAAATCATATATCCAACATATATTTTTTTTTTTTTTGTTCAGAATATAGTTTTAATATTTTTCTAAAAATAAAAATTTATATTTCAGTCAATTATTTATACATGTTAGATAATTTTGCCTTGTAATCGTATAATTCTACACTTTACATTGTTTGCATACCAGTCTATGTAAATAAAATATGTCGCCAAGGACCATGACGACACCAAATATCGAACTTTATTATCATTGCAATTGATAAATAGTTTCAATGAGTACAATAAAATAAGATTCACCTTATATCTTCAAATGATCTGGACTTAGCCTATCAAAATCGATTAATGGATTTGTCAGTTACATTAGATTCCTAAAAAAAAAAATTTTTCGTGTTTGATACAGCCGTCTATTTTATATTGAGTCATCCATCAAACAAAAAAATTGTTCCAAGGATAATTTGACTTGTTAATCTAATCAAGGCTATCTATAATCATTGACATTGTTTTATTGTGTTAGTTTTATCACACATTGTTTGCAAAGGTGGAGAATAAGACAGAGACATTTTGTCAAATAAAAGGGGAACGTTTATCAATGTGAATAGACAAATAAATTAGTTTTGACAATTAGCTGACAAATTTTTTTACATGTCAACACAAGGCTGACAAATTTCTGATCAATGAATTAAACTAGTAAACATGCTTAGATCAATGGAACTTGTTGGTTTTGTGTTGATGTGTTAACAAAAAAAAAAATCAAATGAGATTCTTAGACTATCATCAATTTATGAATCACAGCGCGTAACTTATATATGAAAAACTCAAGTATCCTTAGATTTTTTTTTAACAACTAGGAATTACCAAAAACAAAACAAGAGATGCTACCAGTGTTAATACCTAGATTTTTTGTTTTTATTGAGAGAAATATTTTATATGAAAATAGATTGTTGATTTTTTTTATTCGATTAATAGTTCCGCTTAAAATTGATGATGCATCATTTCGATCAACAGTTAAAAAAGTACGTTTTACACCAAATGAAACAGGTGTACATTATTTAAATGCAAAATTTGGTTCCGAAATAATACCAGGTAATTAAGTTTTAGTTTTCATTTGAATTCTTTTTTTTTTTTACGAAAATAGGTACACCAATTAAAATGATGGTTAATGATGCTCGTTTAGTAACAGCATATGGTGATGGAATTCATCATGCATTACATGAAAAATTAGCAACATTTATGATTGATACACAAGATATGCAAGGCGATTTAAAAGTTCGTATTGAAGGTAATGATAATAAAAGAAAATAAATATATTTTATTTATTTTAAATATTATATTCTATTTTTGTTTTTTTTTTGCAATAGGATCAAATTCAGTTATTAAAAATACACTTGAACGATTAAATGATAATCGTTTTAAAGTAACATATGTACCAGTTGAAGTTGGATTTGTTACTATAAGTATAAAATGGAATGGAAAAGATATTGCTAATAGTCCATTTAAAGCTGCAGTTACTAATCCAGGTTAAGAGATTTATTTATTTATTTATATAAATATAAATATGTATATTATATTTAGAACGTGTTCGAATTGTTGGAGGTTGGCAATCAATACTTGATTCTGAAGATCGTATGCATATTATAATTAATGAAGAAAAGAAAATACGTTTTGATACATCTCATGCTGGACCAGGTAAAAAAATTTTTTATTTTTATAATTAAATTAAATTCATATTTATCTCTGTTTCTAGGTACTTTAAAAGCTGATATTCGAGGTAGTACTGATGGTCTTCGTATACCATTACGTATTGATCAACAAGGTGCAATATATACACTTAGTTTTACTGTAATACGAGAAGGAAAATATGATATAACAATAACTTATGATCAAAATCCATTACCAGATATGCCTATTCGAGCTATTGCAAGTTCAGCAAGTACAAATTTAGGTGAACATTTAAAAGTTGAAGTACGTGGACATGGTTCATATGAAGCAAAAGTTAATGAAGAAGCTGAATTTACTATTGATGCATCAAAAACTTCAACACAAGGTACTGGTATGCCTATTGTACGATTAACTGGTGTACAAGCAGATGTTGAAGTTCGAATTCGACAAATTGAAAATAATGTTTTTCTTTGTTCTTATGTACCAACAATACCAGGTAAAATAATTCAATAGAATTTTTAACAAGAAAAAAAAACAAACAAATACATTTGTTATATTTTTTTTAGGTGCCTATTTATTAAGTATAACATGGGCCGAACGACAAATTCGTGGATCACCATTTAAAGTTAATGTTTTATCAAATACAAATTCTAATCAGTCAGCATCTCGAGTCATCTGTTCAGGTGATGGTTTAAAAATGGGTATATTAGGTAAAGAAATCAAATGTATCATTGATACACGTGGTGCTGGTCCAGGAGAATTAACAGCTTATTGTCAAGGAGTAAATAAAACAGCATTTTGTCGTTTATTTGATCATCGTGATGGTACATTTACATTATTTATTAAACCACAAGAAAGTGGAAGACATATATTGACAATTAAATATAATGATGAAGATGTATCTGGTAGTCCATATACACTTAAAGTTAGTGGTCCACCTGATGCAAGTGAGTATTGAAAATCTTTTTTTTTTTTTTTTGAAAAAGAAACTGATGATTCGATGTTTAGATAAGGTACGTGTTTCTGGTCCAGGTATTGAACATGGTGTTCTATCAACATTTCAATCACATTTTATTTGTGAAACAAAAGGAGCAGGTAGAAAATTATAGAAATGAATTATTCTGATAAAAGTTGTATTTTTGTTTTTCATTTATTGTTTAGGTGCTGGACAATTAACAGTGAAAATTCGTGGTCCAAAAGGTGCTTTTCGTGTTGAAATGCAACGTGAACATTTACAAGATCGTACAATAATATGTCGATATAATCCAACAGAACCCGGCGATTATCTTATATCCGTTAAATGGAGTGATGAACATGTGTTTGGTTCACCATTTCATACACATATTTTCGAACGACAAGAAGAATTAGATCGATTTTTACATGAACAAAATGCTTATCGTCTAGCACAAAAACAATGGAGAGAGGAAGTTTGAAAGAAAAAAAGAAATAATAATAAACAACAAAAAAAACCCTAAGTTTCTACAATCTCTTGTTCTTTGAATGATTTTTATTTCTCGTTCTTTAGCGAAACTTTTAGCAATAATATTCGTTCGTTTTTTTTTCCTCTTTTTTCTTTTTTTTCTACATAAATAAAAATTATTCTACAATTTTCATTAATCATTATCTTCATCATCATCATCATCTTTATCAAGAAAAACTCGTCCATCTAACTTTTTTAAATTTGGTATACGAATATTAAATTCACGATAATATTCTTTTTCTAATAATGTTATTGGTTGACTTGGTTCAGGTGAAAAATTTTCACCAACAATTCGTTCATGTATGGGATTTCCATATGCTGTTATTTCTTCTAATGAATTTAATTCATTTAATTTATTTATTTCCATCCAATCCTTTATTTGATTATAAGCAAAATAAAATACACGTAATTTTTTTAATGTATTTATTCCTTTAAATTTTTCTATATGATTATATGATATCCATAATTGTTCAAGTGTTTCGCCAAGTACTTCAAGACCATTTAAATTTTTTAAATTATTTCTTGAAAGAGAAAGAATTTTTAAATTACGAAGATTATTCATATAACCAATACGATCGATTGTATTTGATGATAAAGCTAATCGTCTAATTATTTTATAGAAATTAAAGAACAAAAAAAAAAATTTTTTTTTTTTTCTTCATTTTTTTGTATTTAAATATACTCGCAATTAATAAGTGATGATAATGATTGATCTAACTTTTCAATAGGTGGTATTCGTCCATATAGATAACATTCTTTAAGTTCTTCTGGTTTTCGATCATCAAGCTAATATTGATATAGAATTATCTATTCATAATTTACAAAAATAATATAACATACATATTTATTTAAAGCTTCACGAAATGTTTGATAGGTCTATAGAAAATAGAATTTATTTAAAGATTTACAAATGAAATTTCATTTTACCATTGCCTATATAAGAGAAACGATGAAAACGAATAAATACAGATTTATTTATTTATGAGCGCGTAATTGTTTCTAAGATTTTTATTAAACTATTACAACTCTCAAAATGATTCAAAAGTCACTTTAGTCATCACTATATTTATAGTTCATATTTGTAAGACAAACGTGGGTCATTTGCTTCAATAATAAATTCTAATTGTTGACGCTTTTAACACAAATTTATGTCATTTTATTCTTTTTATTTCCGATCCACAATGATACATCAAATCAAATTGTAAACTGAATTAGATCAATCATTCATGTACACTGAACTCTTAAAAAAAGTTTTTTGATAGACGATGTCTATTGTCGTGAACATATTATGCTAAATACTAAGCAATGCAATACTATCGATAAATTGAAGAGCAATTACTATCATCATTTACCTATTTGATGATACGTTTATGAGTTGTTTCTTTACTTGATGCTTTACACATTATGGAAGTGGATATGATTATCAAACTCAATACCAATAGTCAAAGCCAAAAAGGATTTGAGTCCATCAGCTGTTGAAGTCGATTTATGACCATTTCACTGGATTTTCGACTTTTAAAATGTCCTAAAAATTTCAGCGAAAACGTATGCTTTATTCTTAAGATGTTGAATGGCTAAAACCCGATCATGTGTCACAGTTTTGACTATTGGACTTGTAGACACTCAAATTGGGTGCAAATTCATCCGATTGTTCAATCTCAATAAAAGAAGCTTCCCCTGACTCGATTTTATGTTTGATATATCTCCCTTGTCGTCGTTGTTTAAAGAAGTGCTGCTGCTACTGCTGATGTAAACATCTCTGACTGATGGGCAAAGATAGAAAAAAGAATGGAATATGAAAGAAGAAAAATTAATTATAACGGCGATTGCAGGTACAATCATAAGTGTCATTGGCATCATTATTGTAACCAGTATCCTTCCTTATAATTAGTATATTTCTATAATGTAACGTTTGTGAACTGGTCTCTGTAATACTTATTCAATAGAAAGACCTTTCAAAAAAAAGACAAGTCGAAGATATTTTTAATAAATAATTTGAACCAAATTATATAACTTGTATATTGTATCATGCCTACGCGATGTTTCAATAAATTCTAAATTTAAACAACTACATTGATTCAAACAAAGTTGATCATAAATAATGTGGGTCATGACCAGCCATCGATTACCCTAGCGTGAAAAGGGTACAACATCACAAAAACAAAGAAAACTGCCTTCACAATCGAAAGTGCACTATCAACAGATTATCCAAAGCAAACAATTTTCACATTGTTACATGGCATTTTTTGCTTGAAAAATCAACAAAAGTTCTAATGTGATTTTATTGTGAGAATAGATCATAAAAAAATAATTCCATTTTTTTAAACTTCTGTGATGGTCGATTTCTCACAAATAACTCAGGTTTGGCAAAAGGAAAATCAATGAAATTTTTGCTGATGACAGAACTAAATAGTCTGTATCTATGATAAAAATTTCAGAGAGTTTGTTAATTAATGATGATATAGAGATGTCACAATGTCAAAAAAAAATGAAATTCCATGATGTTTGACCATGCCCTATCGATGAAAATTAATCTGTTTGATTGAAATGAAATTTTACTAATAGAGAATTTCTCTGTAAACATAATGTTTTTCCGCTAGAATATCCATTTGTTGTATAGCTTAAATTGAACATTGTGATCGTTTTAGACAACCAAAAACAAAAGGATGTCGGTGATTGAACAAGAAAAACCAAGGGGGGAAAAGTAGACTTGTGGACTTATTAATTCATCTACTTGTTCTTACTTTAGACTACTTGAGTGGTACTTTGAGCTTCTTCAAGTATGTACTTTGACATACTTTGATGTGCTTTTCTACTTCATGTCTGCTTTTTTTTCCTAGAGAAAAACCCATACCCATACTCACGTCTGGAAAGAGAGTTGATATGTATAAAGTAGAAGTTTGCACTTCTCCTCCCACAGATCGTACCAGACACCCTTCATGGATCGTCATAATGCGTGGCAACCGCCTTCAACAGACTGTCAGAAGTTATGTATAACCAACACGTAATTGTCGTATTTATGGAGTATTTTCTTGATGAAATTCTGTGCTGTGCATTTAGCAATGTTAGTGGAATATGCCTCAGTATGCGTGAACAAGACCGATTTTTAGTGAATTAGTAACAAATGGTATATTGCTTTTCATGTTTTCATCCCATAGGGATTCTAGAAACAATATTTTTGTTTATTTCTATTTTCAACAACAACGAAAGAGCTCATCTACAGTGTGTCACATAACGTTTATGCTTCTCTCTAGCGACTTCAATTGTAAACGATATCACTGAGTCTTATATACCAAATGAAGATGGCCGAAGTATTAGAAGACATTATCCAAAAATTGTCAAAATCTGAGTTTTTAAGTAACTTTTTATGCTCTCTCAAACTAGCAAACTTATTTCAAAAAGTAACATTTTTCGGTAAATGGCTCTTACTGTTTTAGGTGATGATTTCATGGACCTTCTTTTAATTAAGTGGTATAATTGTTAGTCAAACTAGCTTGGTTTTTTTGTCATCTTACATGAAAGATTGACGAAAGAAAGACGAACCATTTTTCTCTCAACAAAAATACTTAAAGATGTAATGGAGAAATCAGAGAAGTTTTGAAAGTTATTCTCAGTAGAATTTGTTGTAATGATCTGATTTACCTCAACTGCATGACTATTTAAATTATCATGTGTATCATTTATGCTTATTGAACTTGTCTTGAGATTTTTTATTCTCTTACTAAATAGGAATTGAACAATAATATAGATATAAACTGTCTTTGTAGTATACTACTGATTCATCAGAGTTATCTTAATGAGATTAGAATAAATGCTTTTTCTCTTTGGATATGATAACTTCGAAGATACTTACTAAATCATGATCATAAAAAGGTTTCCTTCGAGTGTTCTATTTTATTTCGAGTAAAATTATTCAAGTTCTGAACAACATATATAAATATATCAATAGTTTCTGTTTTTTTTAAATATTATCAGCTTTGATTTATAGATTCAATACGTCTTCGACGAAAAGTCAACCATTGCTGTACTTTCAAATAAACATGTAGACTATACCATACAATAAGTTTTAAGCCAACTGTTAATCCACCATATAAACCTAGAAATATGGTTAATATATAGAGAGCATTGTTCCTTTTCACATAAGTATATCGACATGCCAATGGTGCACAAATCGGAAAATAATTCGAATAATTACTTTCATTTTGCCATCCTTCAATAAATAATTCATCAATTAATTTACCAATCGGTGTTGATGATACTGGAGTAAAACGAGTATGTATCGAACTATTGAGAGGTGATGAAATGTCATATATACTATCAATCAAATTAGATAATCTCTGTAAGCATGTTGAGTTGTAGAGACATTCAAATGTTGATAGACGCAAACCATAGATAGGCAAACAACCAACAATAAGACCTATAAAAAGGTCAAAGTTTTCTAGTACGTATCATCTTGTATTTTGTTTTACTTATGAGCTATTCCACTTAACCCATGAATTATGATGCTCAATAGATTTTTTCTGAATTTCGATTTCAATTACATCTGTTAAAAGTACACCAATTAGTGAATTTCGTGCGACCAATCGCATCTCGATAGCTCAAATCATCATTGAGATGTTCAATTTTTAATATGAGTTCCTTTTCTTTCGTCTGACGATGTTGATTTCATCAGTATCCACTGAGAACTGTGTTTTTTCTGATTGACATGGTGCAGAATGATGCAAATCTCAGGGTAGATAAATATTGATTTGGCGTAAAAAATAAAACCATCTCCAACTTTATATATCATTCTATATCTGGGATATAGATGTCGCGGATGTGGGTGAAAGTATCTTTGTGCTGAAGACCCACACCGACACTCACACTACGATTGCGCGACTATATAATGATGAAAAGAAAACTTTAGATAATCAAGCATAACTCGAGTTATCGAACTTTTGGGGCAATGTACTG